AATTATTATAGAAGTGGGTATATTCACTGGCTCGGCGATCAAAAGAACAAGTAAAACCCAACAAAACTGGCTTGATATATATCTTATATACTGTAGTATAAAGACTAAAGTGTACTGTAGGAATTAGTTCTTCATATCATTGTATATCATTTCGTATGATATACGTATTTACAATTAGCCTTCTGTCATGTATTTGTAATAATAATAAACTTATCATCATTATTATTTCAGCCTACGTCCTGTTTCCTATTTACAAAAATGTAATAAGGTAGTGAGATGAGCGCAGCAAAGTCCTTTGTAACTAAAGCTGTCAAAAAGACTCGAAGTTTACTTGCAGTCTGCAGAGGATGTCATTGATTAAAGTTACATGCTGTGGCCTAATTGCAAACATGGTAAGAGTGTGTGCTGAGTGAATCATTGGTACTGTGGTATGTAACTTTATATATCCTAGTATCTCCTATACATGGCACTACAAGACTAGTCTATGGTAATGATCTTTGAGTGGCAGACGGGTAGACTTGGCCTTACAACGGCAAAAACATTCAAATTCCCCAGTTATAACGTTGATGTTACTCTATAAACAGCATATAAAAGTCAGTAATATAAGCAAACTATCCTTCTACCTTTCCTTTCCTAATAAAGGTATAACGTAAAATCGTAGGCAAGACCATCCTGAGGTAAACATATTGCATTTGCTTGCAAATGTTACCTTTCTAGTTTGTACATTATTCTCATTGTACATGTAGTTAAAAGTAAGACAAGCCCAATGTTTTATTTGAGAAAGGGTATCCATTTGAAATGTTTGAACTTCATATTGCCTGCATTTTCAGAGCCACAAGTCAGGTCTATAGCCAATCATGTCAGACCAGACAGACAGAGTAAGTAGACACTGTTTCTTGTGATGACTTTATAATTATACTCTGACTTTTTTTTTATTTACCCGTACTACAACTTTCAACTCAAAAGAAGGTTCATGCAAACTTGTATATGTAATGTGGTGCTATGGTTCCTCCAGCCCTACTGTTCAGTGCCACCTTTAAGAAGAGAATAGAGAGGCTGTGCAGAGACATTCTCATGGACCCCATCAAAGTGGTGCAGGGCGATCTGGGAGAGGTAGGAGGAGCTTCCGATGAATACCACGTCTATGTGTATTAGCTTTCATTTGCAATGTCTACTACTACTAGTAGTAGTAGAATTTTTAACTATATCTGGTAAAGATAGTATTCTTCTGTGATGGTAGTTTTAATCTTCCATTTGTAGTGAAGGCCAACAATCCAAGTGCCCTTAAACATGTTTTGATACTACAAATTCATTTTTTGATATTGTGAATTGTAAGTCCAAGAAATGGACTAGCTAACACATATATGCTCAACTGTATTCTCTACAGGCCAATGAGGATGTACAACAGATAGTTGAGATCTTCCCAGCAGGTCCACCCAAGTGGCAGTGGCTGACTAGGAGACTGGTGGAGTTTACTTCAGGTACAGTACAGCATTGCAACATGTACTGCAGAAATTCTAATTTGTCTTCTTTCACAAACTCAGGATGCTACAATGTACAAATCTAGTCTATGTTACACCACATAATGTACAAACTTGATTACAACAAAATCACCAGTAACACTTTTTAAAACTGTCTTTGGTTTTCTGGATTGTTTCAGTTGGCAGTGTTCTCATCTTTGTGACCAAAAAAGCCAACAGTGAAGAGCTGGCATCCAACCTCAAGGCTCAGGACTTTGAAGGTAACAGACCATCAACTATTTGTCCTACAGTTTTAACAGTACCACATTTTATGAAAGTCCTAAATTATTGTATGTTGATGCTCTTAGAATAGGCCATGGTGATAAATTCAAAATACTGTTACAGTGAAGTAAAAGAATTATGGCTAATGCTCTCACATTTCTCACACTTCTCAAGCTGGTTTGCTTCACGGTGACATGGACCAGAGTGAGAGAAACAAAGTCATCTCAGAGTTCAAGAAGAAAACCATCCCTGTACTGGTAGCTACAGATGTGGCAGGTAGGTACACAACTGTAAACACTGAACAAAAAATAACCTCTAATGTTTAGGTAGCAGCTAGCAGTATGATATATGGACTTTGAACTAAAAAAAAATTGTTTTGATATCTAATATGATTTACTTCATAAACAATGTAAATTAAGTTTTTCTGACAGTAATGAAAAAAATTACTAAAAGTTAAGAACAAAAAATCAATTTTTTTAAAAGGTTCTGCTCTTTTCTGTGTCTACAGTGTTCACATGTGATATAGATTTTCATAGAAAAAAATTCATGTTTTTTCCAGCTCGTGGTTTGGACATTCCCTCTATCAAGACTGTAGTGAACTACGACGTGGCTCGTGACATCGACACTCACACACACAGGATCGGCAGAACAGGCCGTGCAGGTAAAACAGAAATCACTGCTGATTCTTTTCTCAAGTCAAAACAATAAGTTCAGCTAGAACAGTGGATCCAAGCATGTAACAAGTCCACTACATGTAGTAAATACAATCATTTATGTGACACAGGAAATAAACCCAAAATACATGACAGCTTTTTTGTACTAATTGAATGAGGAATGAGGAAACTGTATGCCATTGGACCACAAAACAGCAAGAAAGAAAATCGTTTTGTTGTTTGTAGCTTTTACATTTTTAGGTAATCCAATAATTAAGACTGTATAGACTATAGGCACAATAAGTTGCAAGTATTCACAACTAATATTACACTTAGTTTCTAGTCAAAGTATACATGCACATAGAACTTCCTACGGCATTTTGTATGATGCTACTTCAATAAATAAATTGATTGTATTACCTCAGGTGAGAAGGGTGTGGCGTACACCTTGATAACCACTAAGGATGTGCACTTTGCCCCACATCTGGTGAGAAACCTGGAGGGAGCCAACCAGAGAGTACCTGAGGAACTCATGAACTTAGCCATGCAGGTACACAGATCTTCATATTTTTTTACATTTTGTATTCAGTAAACTTTCTTTCATTTGTGACAAACCTTAGTAATTTTGATGGACTGAAATAAAAAGGACTCTTGCAGAGAGTTTTGCTATGAAAGGGAATGTAGTTGAAATGTCATGTGGGACTGAAATCTGCATTTTCCAAAATGTGATGCCAAGCCTTACATCTAGTACTGTTATAAAATATTAAACACTGGTACCTGTGGCCAAAAATTTTCCTTTTTTCTCTGTTTGCTATACATTGTAGGTTTGTGTGTGTAATGATTGTACCAGTGCGATGTACAATGTACATGATTTATGTGTAGCTTTACTTGTGTACATGTGTTTGCTGTATCTCCCTTTACAGAATAACTGGTTCAGGAAGAACCGGTTCAAGGGTGGTCGAGGCAAGAAGATCACGGGTTTTCAGAAGAGAGAGAGACCTGGACTTGGAGCAGACGTAAGGAATATTCCCTACCTACCGACCCTAATTTTTTCAGGACTGAAACAAGAAATGCAACATTTTTTTTCCCTAGGCCTTGCAGGTTACTAGGCCATACCATACTAAATTCTCACCCAACATTTTTTTGGCAACAGCTGAGTGGTGGAGGCAGTAAGAATGACGACTACGGTGATGACGAGGACGGAAACATGTCGGCCCCGATGACCTACAGCACGTTCGGCGGGGACAACGCCTACTCTGCCGGCGCCAGCCGCACGGCCGCCGGGCCACAGAGCGACCGACTGTCCGCACTCAAGAGTGCCTTCATGGTAAGGAGAACCTACTAAAGTTTATATGCCACAATGTTAGACTGGTTGAATATTGTTTGACCTTATGTATTAGAAAAATAGAATCATTATGTTACATTTTGTTGTATTACTTGAATGTATAGAATTTTGAATTTCCACAGAATTTAGGTTCATTCTTTTCAGGTTGTATACCCAATTTTGGTGCACCTGCATTTCTGAGGTTAGGCACACCACAGTGCACCCAGAGCTCTTATTAAGTCATTAAATTTGGTAAAAGTGCACATGTGCATATGAGATAACCAGTCTTTTTACCTTCGCCAAGAAGGTTATGTTTTCAGAGGCGTTCGTGTATGTGTGTGTGTGTGTGTGTGTGTGTGTCTGTAAACACGATAACTTGAGAAGGCCTTGAGGGATTGTCTTGATACTTGGTAGGTAGGTAGGTCTTGATGAGACCTCAAAATGATTAGATTTTGGACCCCCTAGCGTCTTGTTATGGTACTGCAGCTGAACTTCCGGTTTTGATATCTCATGATCTAGACATGCTAGGGTGACGAAATTTAGATGATAGGTAGCTCTTGTCCTGGGGAAGACGTGACGTGAGTTTGGGCCCCCTAGCGGCTTGCTCTGGAACTGCAGGGCTACATGTTTGAAATTATTCAAAAGACGATAACTCAAGAACCGGTTGACGGATCGTCGTGATTTTTGGTATGTAGGTAGCTTGCGTGATGCTTGATATAATTATGTGACAATTATGCAAATATGGATGTAATTTGCATAATTTATGGCGAAATTCTATAAATCAGCTGTATTCCATGATAGGACTATTGAAGCTTGTGAAATTGGTAATTGAGAAAAAGAGAAACACAGGCAGATATTGATTACGTAAATGAAGACTTAATTTGCATAATTAATGAGAAAATTTTTTAATTATGCAATGCTAACTGCCTGGAATTTCATACTTGTGATATTTGAAACATAAGTGAAGGTGAACATCATTAAACATAATGTATTCAAATCAGGACATTCAGGACCTCATTTGCATAATTTATGAGGAAATGCCAAAATGGCATTGTTTGTTAATATAAGACTGTCCTTTGGTTGAGAATATGATACAATGATATAATTCATGAAAATGAGGATCCTATTTATTAAATCAGGGGGGAATAATCTATAATTTGGCAGTCATAAAGATTAACACCATTTGGCGAAGGTATGAGATCGGGGAACTCTAGTTTAAAATATTTTTTGCTTGCTACCGACTCTAACTCCACTGTATAAACAGAAATTCACTTCCCAGTATGGGCCCATAATAAGCAGTGGATAGATGCATTTCTATACATGTATAACAAATGGGAAACTTTTTCCTACGTTTCATACCTTAACTCACTTCTAGTTGCTGCAATAGTGTGTAAAGGTACTTGTACCGGTGCAAGTGCAGTCAAATTTATGTGCGCTCTTCCAATTTCACATGCACATTTAAGGGGTAATTTTAGCCCTGTCACCTATTACCAAGAAGACTGGTTTTGAGCCCTGTATGTGTATACTATTTTCTCATCACACAGACTCAGTATAAGAAAAAGTTCCAGGTAGCCAGTGACTCGGCCAGGCCCACTTTCAAAGGTGGCAGCAGCCTGAGCACAGTATCAGGCAGGGGAGGGTTCACCAGTGGGGGCAGTCTGCACACTGTGGACTCACCAGGCACTGGACTTGTGAGTTATAGGGCCTTGACTGAGAGTCTTAGAACATGCTGGAATGGCACAACATCAAGTGTGAAAAAGGAAAGAGAAGCCATTCCAAGGTGTTCCACAGACCTGTGAAAGGCTCTGTGTGTGGTGACACAGCTAACGTTTTAATTATTAGTACACAGAGCACAGTAACATCAACAGCATTGGCCTGATAACTGAAGGGCAGCTACATGTAACATGCGTACTGCTGCTTTGCTGACTGGCTTGGAAAGAAAACTTGCATCCTTTACAGTATCTCACTGTAAAAAACAAAGAAAGGCCTCTGCTTTTTGCCTTCTGTTGTGATTTCTAAAGATACATGTAGCTGCAATGTTTGGCACTTTGTGATGTTTCTAACTTTTTATCTCAGTTCCAGAATGGTCAAGAAGTTTGCAGTATTGCTTTTATCCAACACTGAGCTGCACATTATACAATCTTCAATGTACCTCTCTAGTCACTGTGTTCACAACTCTTCTAGGGAAGTGATAATGGAAAAAGGCTTGTGACAACTGTTTCTGTCACTGTTCCAATGTTGTCTCAGACTGTATCTTTGGAAAGCTGTGAGCACGTTTTCTGAGCTTTTCAAGTAGTTGCAGTTCTGGTGTGTGTTTGAGCAGACTGTACTAGCTAACATTGCCATAATAAGCTGAGCACGTCGGCAGAACAATAAAATTACTATGCCTGTGCGAAAACTGTAATAGTGTATAGTGTGTAGGCAAAAAAATCAAATTTTACCTACAGTCTATAGTTTTCAAATATTGTGTCAGAAAAGATATTGTCTACAAAAAGTTGACTGAGAGTCCAATGGAAAGCGTGAAATATCCGGATTTTGCACAGGTGCAGTACGTTCTGCTGACATCCTCCACAGCTGTGGTTGTGTAACCGTTCTCCTTGGTCCCCAGACGCAGTACCAGAAAAAGTTCCGGCCGGCCAGTGACTCTGCCAAGCCTACCTTCAAAGGTGGCAGCAGCCTGAGCACAGTATCAGGCAGGGGAGGGTTCACCAGTGGGGGCAGTCTGCACACTGTGGACATGGCCACCAACCCACAGACAGCCTCACCAGGCAGTGTCATTGTGAGTTCTGTGGCCTTGGAGTGGGTTGTTATAGGCTCCAAGACGACAGGGAATGGCTATGTACATGTTGGATCCATGTGTACTATGGATACCATTCCAGAATTTTTTTTTTTAATGTCGAGAGTATTCATACATGTCTGATCATTTTCTTGTATTGTGGACTGAAATTTAAAATTAAAATGAATTGCATTGTACAAATCTTAACATCTCAATAGTCTCATGTAACATCATTTTGGTGTTTTTATCAATTCAGTCTGTGATGCTTTGACTTAACATGTATGTAGTGGTCACAATTGGTGTCAGAAGTGGGATTCAATGAATTCAATGAATTTCATGTACATGTACATGTACATCTGTCATTCCTAAGTGCTGATGCTGGCATATATGGCATTGGCAAGATTTGTGCATACCAAAGACAATGCAGTTTTACTCTTAATTGTCTCTGCTGGTTGCAAGATATGCCTTCAAAGGATGTCTTCTAAGAAACTTACGTTTATCTTGCCTCCTTTCTTTTGTCTTGAATTGCTTTTTGCCCGTTGCAGTAATTTCTAAACAGCTTGGAACAACTGGACCTGAGTTGCCTGTTTTTTTTAAAGAAGTAACATTCTCGCAACATGATCTGCACCTAATTCATTGTCTTGCTTTATTTTTGCAGCACATTTTCCTGTGATTAACTTGGTTCAATGTTTGTCAATGTTCAAATATTTCAGCAGTGCATATTTTCCTGTTGCTTACTGTTTTTTTTCCTTTCAGCATTCTCCTTTGTGCATTGCACATAATCTTAACGCAAGAGTTACTGGTGTGAGCAAGCATCTCTCTGCATTTCTGTGCCTTAGGCCTGATTTCAACATCTTGCTTGCATAAACTGGCATCTAGTAATTCATAAGGCCATGTTGATTTCATTATATGGATGACATCCTCTGGTAACCCTCAAACTGACACGAATGTGCAAGTTTGACAAATAAAAAAGTTGCCTTCAATATGAAATCTACATGGTCATGACTAAACACACAGATTATGGTATGGCAAATATTAGACTCTTCATTTTCATTTCTTGCATTTTATTCTTGTCCTCTGGAACTGATTTTGGCATTCTACAGTAGTATCATTTTCCAATATTTTTTTTCAATTTATGGCATATATTTGCTCATATCTGCTTTGTACAGTGTACAGTATGGTCAAAAACTTTTTTTGAAACAGAGAAAAATTCATATAATCAAATCAAAATAGAAGTCAACAGTATTTAAGTGATGATTTCATATCCTCCTACAGAGTCAGTACCAGAGAAACTTCCAATCTGCCAGTGACTCCAGCAAACCTTCCTTCAAAAGCGGCAGCAGCCTGAGCACAGTGGGGACTTCAGGAGGGTTCGGTGGTGGACAAAGGTCAGTAATTGGCACACTACAGAATAACGGTAACCATCCAACTGCAAACAGTCTTTTTCTTTGCATATGCTGGTAAATGTTGGCATTTTGCAGCTGGGTTTCTTCTTATTATTACGTTGAAATTATAAATGTTTGAGTGTCTGATTTTGTAGAACTCTTACTAGAAGTTCTGATGTTTGACTGTGGTTTCCCAAGAACCTCCTTGGGTTTCCTGTACAGAGGGGTAAAAAATCATGGTTTGTTTTGATTACATTGAACCCTTTTTGCCCTATGCAATTAAAAAAATTTGGGGACTTTAGGGTCAATTTAGAGAGCAGGTCTAAAACTCATGTATGTGATTTTTGACAGCTCATTTCTTTGATCTTTGCCATGTACAAAGGTGGGAATCATTATTGATTATGTACCCTAGTAGCCCTAGCAGTGGGAAGGCATCAGGAGGATTGGGAGGCTTCCAAAGTGGCAGTAGCCTGTCTACAGTGAAGTCACCCGGAGGCATGGCAGGGTTCCAGAGTGGGAGCAGTCTGAGTACTGTCGGGTCATCAGGAGGGTTCCAGAGTGCAGGGAGTCTACACACCATCAGCAGTCCTACTGGTTCTAGTGGAGCAGCCGACAAATTTGTGAGTTACAGTGGTTTATTTAGTTCTTTTAGTCTTCTAGTCAGCATCTGTCTTTCTGTCATTTGACGGAATTTTGCCACTCAAGACAGACAAAAATCTTGTCCAATCTGTCATCTTTGAGGGACAAAAATTAGCGTATAGAGATGTGGCAAGAGATGTCATTAAAGTACATGCCCCTCAAAATGCAGTAGATATTGTTTCAGACAGTCAAAATTTCAAACTATGTGCCAGGATTATTGCTCCTCTTTGCCTTTGGCACTCGACATGATGATCACACAAAATAGAGATGACGGAAAAAATATTGGCTGTCTGGAACACTGATTTCTTTAGTAAACTTTTCCATCTGGGTTATGGTTCTTTTTAGAAAATAATGCATGCTAGAAAATAGCTGTATTGACTGACTTGCTTCTGTTACAGACAAACTTTGCCATACCCAAGGACCCAGTAACCAGCCCCTCGGCACTGAGCAGAGCACACAATTCGTCCGGCAGCAGATTCAGCAGCTCTTCTAGCAGCAGCAGCAGCTCACACAGAGATCGGGACAGGGATCGAGATCGCGACCGTGACCGCCACAGGGATCATCACGACCACGACAGGAGCCGGGACAGGGACAGGGATCGCGACCGAGATCGGGACAGACACCGGGACAGAGATCGGGACAGAGATCACGACCGCCACAGGCACGATAAAGAGCGGGACAGGGATAGGGACAGCGACGGTTTCAAAGCGCCCGGACCCGTCTCGTCACCACCAAGTTCCAAGCAACCAAAATCAAAGAGAAGCAGATGGGACACTTAAGACATCTCTCCCTGTCCTTTTGTACTCGAATTGTGTCATATATTATAACAATATTACATCTTACAAAGGTCTGTACTGTTGTAGAGCAGGCTGAGTGTTGGTATTACATGTAGTAGATAGATTTTCAAGATATTGAGAGTGTTACGTGTACGTGTACTTAATATTCAAGTAGTGTTCTATCCTAACTATATGTACAGACTATTTCATACAAACAGACGGTTTTTGTGGCTGCTAATTTTTGAGTAGTTTCCATAGAAATCTTGAGTTCTTTTGTACAGATTTTACTTCATTCAGAACAATGATGAGAAGTATATAGTAGATCATACTGCATTGAAGGTTGTTATGATATAATGCAGAACTTATTTTACAAACTATTACTGTAATTGTAACCATAGTTTCTGCCACTGCCTTTGTGTTACATAACATAATTTCCATACATTTGGGGGGGGGGGGCTTTGTACATTGTACTTAATGTACAACTGTACATGCAAACAGTATTTTGTAGTGGAACTACTTCTACATTTTTGTAAGTAGATGAATTTTTGAATTAAGTAAAAATATAGATGATACTTAGAGGGATTTGAGAGAAGTCATGAAATATACTGTCACTGTCTAGAGTTTCGCACAGAAGATTTGCATATCAAACTACTAAGAAAATGTTGTCAACCTTTTTCTTTACCACTGACAATGTTAAACCTTTCTGTCATCAATGAAATTACTTGAACTAAAAGTTTGATGAAATGAAAAAAAAAAACCTAAGCTCCCTGGAACTTTAGCCAATACCAATGTGCTCTTTTGCAGGATAATTCTGTAGAGAATTCTCTTTTAATACAAAGTAGCCGATGTGCTGTGATATGTATTTTGTGTTCTCTATGCATGGGAAATATTGTGTGATCATAGATGAAATTTTACTGATTTGGATTAGTACTGATACTAGTTCTGTTCGATTGTTTTTTCAGAGACATTGCTTTTTAGTCTCTTCAGTTGCAAAAATGTGGACTCTTACTACTAATTGACACTTAGCATTCATTACGAAACCTGTACTTCTATTTTCATCGTTTTAGAATTCTTTGCCTAAGGATGCTTGGGTCCAGATGCCTCTGCAAGATTGTGACTTTTCGAAGAAGACTCTTGAAACCACCTTTACTCTTGTTTGTTTTATAATGAAATGAAGAATACAAAAGCTACCGGGGTATGAATTGAATGAAGAATACAAAACATTTTTTGCCACGAAAATTTTTTTGTCATACATGTGATTGTTTCTTTTACCTTCTACTTATGTGTGCAATATACAGCAAACATTGTATAGTCTACAGTATGGATAGCCAGATTATGGAGGTCCTGTAGAAGCCCTTCCCTTGGTCAGGGTCCTGGAAGCTTCATATAAGAATCGGGATCTTAATCCTGTTGATTTGTATGCGTGTGTGCTAACATAGACCACCTATAGTCAGACTTTTGTTCCCATATTGTTGAAAACTGTGATGAATGGTTTCCATGGTGACAGAGAATCCTGAGCTACCATTGGACTGATGTTCACAGTGATAAATAATCTTGAGCTTCTATTGGTTGTTCTGGGAATGCATGGGAATGGTTCTCTTGAGTTGGAGGTGTGTACGGCCATGATAAGATCTCTGGGAGGAGGGCCACTCAGTTTGTGGTCTCTTTTTTAACCTCCTTGGTGTAAGGTGTAGGAGTATGGTAAAATCGTGTCTTCTTTAAAAAATATGACAGACAACATTTCATGATTTAACAAGGGACATGCCCTTTTATTTCTCAAAACTCAGTTACAACCATAATAACATATTCAGTGATGTGAACATACCATAGGTTATATGTATCAGATGCTATAATGAAAGGAACAAAAACTTGTATTTCTGGCAAAGGTAAGCAGGGAATAGACTTTCATTTTACAAAATGTGAAATATATGTTCAATCACATTATGCAAATAAACCACCTGTAAACGTTTGTTCATGTAGTAGTAATCAGTCACCCCCATACCAAGGGATAATCCTATGTAACATACTTCTGTTCATGTTATGTACTTTCTTTTCTTGGGGTAATTTCATAGGAGTTTTAAACTGAGCACTATGTTTTACATTTTTTTACCTTTCGTTTCATTGTTAGCACTCCAAACAGCCATTAAACATAACACAAATGTGCATTGGAAACAGTTGTGAACCGGAACAATGGTTCTCAAACATATGAAACAGTCATGCAACCACGAGAGATTTCATAAAACTTTATGTCTAAGTACTTGCAGTACTTTCATCCGCCACATAGAGGCGTAACTACGTCATATGTACATTAGCCACCTTCCAGTACTTCTGGAGCTGCCTCCATGGCTTGTCGGCATACTTCATCCACGTACCATTTCCTGATGAAATGCAGGCGGCCGTCTTCCTCTTGGCTCAGCCTCTGCACAACGTCCAGGATCTTCCCCAGTCCTTCCAAACTCTGGCCGACCAACTCCGGCAGATTGTACTGCGTAGCATCTGGGACGTTTGCCGCGATGTTTTTGATCACAACGTTGTCCAACACGTGCGGCGCAGCTACGGACAGTTTGTCGCGAAGACCGTTGACGTAGGCCAGCAATTCTGCCGAGGAGAACTGCTTTGCAATCAGCTCTGCATAGGTGGTGGAGATGGCGGAGATCTGCTCACTGCAGCGTGGATCGATCTCGGTAGGTGGCGCCACTGCCTGGGCAGACTTGGGCTTGGTTGACTCATCCAAGGATGCGGGTTTGTCTGGTATAAATTAATAGAACTTCATCAATGTTTAGGCAACCACATCCATGCTTGAGCAACAACAAACCTTATAGCTTACATGAATGTATCTAAGTTTAACTGGTATAAAGTTTGACCAGACTTGCACCAATAATAATGCACCAAACATGTTGATGCTAGCTATATAGCTATCTGGTATCGAAAATTTCTCTAATACTATCTCAGTATTTGGGCGGTCATTTCAAACGCTCAGTTTGCCTTGTGAATCAGTTTTTATTGACGTGGAGCCCCTAACAGCACCCCTCGCGGGGTACCTATTATTTGGGGCTATTTAAAATGATGATGAACCCAGCTCATTCTCACCTGCGGTTTCTCCCTTACTCCCCTCATCCACAGTCACGGACACCTCCAGGAAAACCCTGCACTTGCGCTGCTTGTCGCTAGGGGTCACCAAATACCGCCTCCTCACCGACAGGTGGAGGTTGGTCTCCAGGGCTTCCTTCACGTTAATGGTGACGGTGCCAACCGTGCGCTCGGTGCACTTCTTGGCCTTACGTATCTTCAAGACGACGTCTTGTTTGTCATCAGACGACCAAGATGGGAACTCGGCTGACTCATTCCAGACCAGTGAATCCGCCTTCTTCAGCCCCGTTCGGAACTTGGTTTGACCAAGCTTCATTGTGGCCATGTACTTGCCAGGACCGAAGCTTCCCTGGCCAGTTGCTGCGTGGACCGTTACTTCCAACTTCGGCTTCCCTTCTCCTGTTTTCTCTCTTTTCACGAGACTTAGTGCCGTCAGGACGTGAACTACGCCGCTAAGGCACTTGTCTGCTACTCGACTCATTGTGGTTTGAAAATCTAGCAGTGCGAAAACTGTGAAGTACAAAGACGCTAAGAAGCTAGCGTGTTGTCCGTACGGAGTTTCGTGTCGCACTGTTGTTCTGTCGCTAGGACGCTAGATGGCGTTCTGTGACGCAACACTGTTCTGGAACGCCTTTTACAATCTCGCGTTATACATTCGCAGAACAACGCTTATCAACACAGTGAATATGATCTGATGTGACGAAACATTTTATTGGTCTCAATTCGATTTCGCGGTCATAAACAAATTGTGTATATTGTTTCGTCAGCGAAATAGATACATGTCAAAGTATTCAAGGGGCACATCCCGGTTTATTTTGGGTCTCAATTCGATTCTGCACACCCTCAACTCTAGCGACCGTCTCTTTCACTCAAGTTTTAGGAAATAATGCTGTAGCAAAAACAATGTGTATGGGAATGAATGATATCCCTCTAGCTACAAGAACAACAGATTTTTACTTCTTCAACCTCTCAA